CGCCAGCCGCCCCCCCACACCGACGCCCGCCCCCCTGCTCACCGCCGGGCGCTGCCCGCTCCTCCTCGAGGCGTGTCGAGGCCCCGTGCCCGGCCGCTGCGCTGGGGGGACCCGCGCTGCCCGGCGACACTTCCCTGTCCCCCCCAAAAATTAATCACCAAAAAATAATTCCAGAGAAAAATGGAGAGTAAAATCCAAGATGGCGGCGCATGCCGCAGCACCGCCCGCTCCATCCGCTGTCAGGAAATGAGTCCCAGCCGCGGCAGGAGCCCCCCGCCCCCACCGCGCCGCGCCCCCGCGCCCCCCGTGCCTCACCTCGCCTCTCGCGCGGCCGCGGGGTCCCAGAGGCAGCCGCCAGACTCGGGGCTCGCGTCCTGGGTCCTGGCGCCGCGCTGCTGCTGCCTCCGGTGCCCGGTCGCCCTCACCTCATAGCCCCGGAGCCTCGCCGCCCGCACCGCAGTCGCGTCGCCGCCCCCGGTGAGCCGCCCGGACGCCGCCCGGGAACGGTGGAAGGACACGAAAAGGAGTGCCCTCGGCCGGGCGAAGGGGCGCCGCACCGGATCGCGCTCTGCTGGCCGCCTCTGTTGCTTTTACGGGACTCTACGGGGGGAGGCGGAGAAACCCGAGAAAGAAATGAGTCCCTCGCCGGGTGCTCCCGCGGCGGAGGCACAAAAGCGACTTTTGCGAGGACAAGCCGGGCCGTCGACTCGCGTCTCCCGTGGCGGAGGGATCCGTGCCGATCAGTAGGCAGGGATCCCTCCGCCCCTCGCTGCCCTTTAAATCGCGGCTGGAGGCGGCGACGCCGCGCGCCCCTTGGGCGCCACCCGGGTCTTAGGCTCACTCGCATGCCCTGTTCCCGCGGGGTCTGCCCACCTGCCCCCTTTCCCCCCCCAGACCCTCCGCATAGCTGCACCCACCGCGGACAGCTTCTGAGCTTGGACTCGGGGCAGCCCTGGGGGACAGCAGGTTCCTCGCCCAGTGCTGCTCCCGGTTGCGCCGAGGGGAGGTGGTCCCACGGAGGCGAGCTTCTTTGTTGTGGAAATGGGTGTCGTTGGAAGCAGATACACCCTTAAAGACCATGTGGGCAGCCCGAGCATTCCGCCGCGTTGTGTGGGAGGGGGGAGGGAGGGCGTGAGCGTGCGTTGATCGGGCCACAGGCTTCCTGGTGTCAACTGGCCATTTCTTGAGTGCCTACTGTGTGCCAGGCTTTCTGTGACACAGTGATAGTGCCACTTCCCTAGTTGGGTAGTGCCAGCACCAAAGATGCGACCCCCACCCCCACCCCCCAAGGCGCCCATGCAGGTGGGGGAGCGGCTGAGTGGCTTACACGCGCCGGGGGGGGGGGTCGCCCTTGGGACCCCGCAGTCTGATAGCCAGGACCACAAAATAATGAGAGCAGCGTGTACACAGCCTTTGCTGGGTACCAGGTACGGTTTGGGGGCTTTGGTGCCCTCTCTCATTTGTTCCATAACAACCCCCAGGAGGTGGGACCCTTGTGGTTCCCAGTTTCCACGTAAGGAAACTGAGGCACAGAGAGGTTAGGTTAGCTCTATGACCGCCCTTACCCAGGACTCGAGTGAAAAACGCAGACATCGAGGAGAGGTTGAGGTGGCTCCAGGCTGGCAGAAGCACGGAAGGTGTCCTTTAGGAAAAGGGGGTGCTTAGGGGGTGTGGAGCCAACAAGCACAAAGGCCCTTGGAGGGGAAAGAGGCTGAGTCTTCCAGAACTGTCCAGCAGGGTTCCTGCAGAGAGGAGGCGGGAGGCGGGCAGGGCAGGCTGGTAGGTTCCAGGAAGAGCCCCAGGTGTGCCTTGGTTTCCCCTGCATCCTCAGGGCCTGGTACCAAGTAGCGTCACACAATACAGGACGGGTCAGTGGAGAGTGTGGATGACCATGAGGACAAGGGTCCGACTAACACCAACACGGGTGCTTACCTCATTTTCCGCCCTCCTCAACCTTGGGTGGTGGTAGACATCATATTATTCCCCTTCCACAGATGGGTAACTTGAGGCACAGTGATTTGCTCAGGGCATGTGTTTAACAGGCAGAGGCAGGTCTTGAGCTGCAAATCCAGAGCTCCCCACCACCACCCTCACCCTCCCTCCTAACTTCCCTGCTGGGCTCTGGAGGCTGACCTGGGGAGGGGGGCAGAGCCCCACCACCCCTCAAATAAAGCAACCTGGGCACGTTGCTCTGTGCTTCCTGTCCTTTCACTCCACAAGCCTCAGGGACATCCGTGACATCAGAAATCGTCTTGCCATGTTCCTGTTTACCGACACACCGAACAAATGATTGCTTTGGTTTTATTAGTTTCTGATTTATCACTAAACTTTCTTCCCAAGATTTTCATAGTGCTTGGCTCCAAATACTCAAATCGCGTCCCACTGAGATTGCCTTTGCCACCCCCCCACTGGATGCCCACAGGGCACGCAAACCTGCCTGCAGTGGGCAGACACAGCCTTGCATGGACCCTCCAGCGTCTTGGTGGCCAAGCCCCAAGTCCCACCATGCCTGGGCAGCCCTTCACAGCCCCGAATGCCAGTGTCTTACGCACAAGAAGTTTTCCAGAATCCACTCCAGCACACTGGTGCTCTCCACAGACCCCTGGGGCTGACACCCGAATCCCAGTCCTGTAAAGCCTCCCAACTCCCAAGATGCTGGGACCTCCATTTAGTCACTGCCCAGTGCCAGGCCAAGTGTTCTGGGCAGCAACTTGCAAGGGAGCAGGCCAGGCCCACAGCCTGGCAGGGGGCACAGTGAGTGAACCCAAGCACAGCTTCCTCCCAGGCTCCCTGGCTCTGGGTCTGTCCCTCCTCCAGCCCCCTGCACTGCTGGCTGCTCTTCCAGCCTCAGCCGAGAGGCCCAGGGCAGGCCAGGGCTCCTGGCAAAGTTGAGTTGGAGCTCAGAACCTCGATGGAGCCATCCTGAAGGTTTGGTGATTTGGGGGTCCCAATCCAGGGAGTCCAGGGCTGAACTGGTCAGAGGGCACAGCCGGGAGCGGCCCTCCTGGGGAAGACTGGAAATTCGACTTCCCCACAAGTGAGCCTGGCCAGCTGGAGGCCACCTCCTGCCAGCTGGCAGGGGAGGGGGATGGGGGACAGGAAGCAGTGTGGCCAGGCACCTGCCCAACCCCCATGTGACAGGAGCCATTGGCATTTACACTGTGAAGCTTCTGGATGCCCCAAACTGGAAGTCTTAAACCACAGAGGCAGTGGGTCCCCACCAAGCCTTGAAAGATATTAACAACTCTAAAGAAAGACCTAGTCAGCGGAAGGGGCCCAGCCAGCCCCAGAAGCACCAGGAGTGCCAACCCAGTGCAGGGCTGACCTGGAAGCAGCGCCCTTGCCAGGGCGCTGGCTGAGGTCACAGAGCCTATTCTAGTCCCCCAGCAAAGCCCGGGGACACTCCAGAGACCCAGCCTGGTCCCACCAACCCTACGTCACTCTCCAACTTCCCTTCTTCAAACGCCAGTCACCCAGCAACTGGCTGGCAGGGATTTGCTTGCTGGGATCCTGTGCACACGGGAAGGGCCCACACAGGTTATGCTGACCCCAGAATTCCAGGTGGGATGGCGGGTGGCTTCTTGTTGTAAAGTGATATATTGGCTTTTGGACCCCGCACATGAGTCTCGCCTAGTTCCCCACCTTTTCCCGGAAGACAGGGCTGTTCTGATGAGAGCATGTGTCCAAGACGGGGGAAAAGGGTGGGGCATGCCCAGGACCATCCTGGCGGCTCATCTGGGCAGCTGCTGGCTCCCTGGCCACCTGCCTGAGCACCACTAGGCACCCTGTACCATCATTGCCTTCCACTTGCCCCTCCACTCCCCACCTCTCCTTTGCTAGATGAGAAAACCGAGCATCTGAAAGGCCGAGTGACCTACCCATGGCCCCACAGTCAGCAACGGCAAGACTTCATGGCAGCCTTGTGTGGGCTTGGCACGAGGTTTGAACCCCAGCTCCACAGCTTACCAGCCCTGTGGTTTGGAGCAGATGATGCAGCTTGTCTACAAACTGTTCCTCACCTATGAGAAGGTGCCAGTCCTTGGACCTGCCTGAGTAATCTCATTCATACCTTTAACATTGTTTATGTACATAAGATGCCCAAATTCCTGGCTCCAGCCTGGACTTCTCTGAACTTCTGACACCACCACTTAGCTGTTTAATAGATTTCAAATACAGCACGGCTGAAATTGAACACACACGCGGAAACTTCCACCTCTCGGCGATATTCTCCCAATGCTCACTCTCCCAATGCTCACGTCCAGTGCCTGACTTTCATTCTCCTTTAATGGCCTTCGTTTTTTTTTTTTTTTCTTTATCCCCATCTAGCATCCTGTATCTTTTATTCCATCCCTCCAGGGCCATCCCACCCTTCTAGGCTATGAGCTCCTTGAGGGAGGGGCGCTTTGTCTGCCTTGTTTGCTGCTGTATCTCCCGTCCAGAACAGCACCTGGGGCCCTGGGGTAGAGGCTCAGTACACAAGGGTGACCCTAACCTCCCGGGACTGCTGCAGGGGTCAGAGGAGGTGGGAGCGGGTCCCTAACTGCTCTCTTGGCTCTGGGCTCAAGCTGTTCCCTTGAGGAGGCCTGTCCGCCTCCCACCCCCACGGCACGCACAGGCCCTTCCCTGCTTTCAAGATGGGGGTGCCCAGGGGTTTGCATACACCTGGGCAATCAGACAGGCCCCAGTACAGCCTTGTGTCCCTGAAGTAATGGTACTTTTCGGGTTCCCACCACCACCCAAAAGAAGCCCAGCCTTACTCACCCCTGTCTTCTCACACATGTGCAGAAGTGACACAGAAAGGACCCACGGCAGCGGAAACACTGGTTTCCTCCAGGGCAAGGAAAGCTTAATCGTACTGTTTTTCAATCGTTTCAGACTTACAGGAAGGTTCCAAGTATAACACAAGATCCACTTTTCCTTAACCATCTGACTATGTGGCCACCCAGATGCTCCGTTACAGCCGAGCACATTAGGGTGTGTTTCCTTCTGAGCCAGCCTCCCACAAAACCAGACTGCAAGGATCAAAATCAAGAAACTAAAAAAAATATTAATAATAAAACCCAAGAAATTAACATTCATAGGTCGCTGTCGTAGAGCCCTCAGACCGCATCACTAACTCTAATAATGTCCTTTACAGCAAGGGGGCTTGTCTCGAATCCCTTTGACCTTGGTTGGTTGGGCCTCTTTCACTTTCTTCATTCTGGAGCAGCTTTACTCTTTCCTTGACTTGCGTAACCTTGACACTCCTGAAGGTTACAGGCTAGTTATTTTGTGGCATGTCCCTCAATTGAGGTTTTTCTGGTGGTTCTTCAAATGTCTTTGGCAAGGTCAACTTTAAGGTCAAGTATCTTTGGCAAGAATGTCCCAGAAGTGAGACTGTGTTCTCATTGCATCCTATCAGGCGGCAAAGGATTCAATTCGACCCATAACTGATGGAGGCCCCTTTGGGTCACTTGATGAAGGGATGTCTGCCAGCCTTCTCCACTGGAAAGTCACTTGTTTTCCCTTTGTAATAAGTATTCTGGGGAGCGGTAGTTTGAGAGGATGGTAGCACCCCATTGATCTTCAAACTTTTAATGTATTAATATATTTATACCAGTATAAACTTACGGGTTCCTGTTTTGTTCAATAGGTTATAATCTGTTTCTCTCTCTCTCTCTCTCTCCCTCCCTCCCTCCTTCCCCCTTTCTTTCTTCAAAGATATTTGTGGCAGCTTCATTTATAATAGCCCCAAAATGGAAACAACTTGAATACCGATCAACAAGAGAAAGAATATACAAATGTGGTCTATCGGCTGGATGAAATCCTGCTCAAAAATAATAAGGGATGAGCTACTGTTACAAGGAACAACATGGATACATTTCAAAAACATCGTGTTGACGTAAAAGAAGCCAGAAACCATAGAGACAAATCGTTTGATTCCAAATTGTGATGTCCTAGACAGGGGTCGGCAAACTTTTGAGACGGAAGAGCCGCCAGGGGTTGGCAAACTGCGGCTCGCGAGCCACATGTGGTTCTTTGGGTATGTACATGTGGCTCGGAAATAAAATTGAAAATGAAAATAAAAGTATCATAGTTTCATTTATAAAAATTTTACAGGATATTATTCACATAATGGTGATTATGTAAAAATATATTATGGCTCTCGAATAAGTTTTACATTGTTGTGAGGGACAGGATTGGCTCTTCCAGGGGTCAGCAAACTTTTGAGACGTAATGTACCCCAAAGAGCTGCATGTGGCTCACAAGCTACAGTTTGCCGACTCCTGTCCTAGAATGACAAAAAGAGCCCGAATGGGGATCGAAATCTGGAGTCATCTGCCTTGGGGCAGGTGGGATCAACTAAGCAGGGACACAAGAAACTGTCTGGTGTGATGGAAACATCCTGTGTCAGGAGTGGTTTACCCAGGTGCACATGTTGTGAAAACTTGCAAACTGTAAGTCTAAGTTCTGTGCACTCAAAACAAAGGGGGGGGGGGAAACTGAATTGAATTGGGCTGCTAATCAGTGAAAACTTCTCCAGTTTTTCCATGACCAGCCTTGTGGCCGAATACATTTTGCACAATCGTTTTTCCTCGCGTGTTTCCTAGACATTGCTTCTGGGAATGACCCAGGTTCAAAGTGCAGGTCCCAGGTTCAAGGTGCAGGTGAGGGACTTGCGAGTTCTTACTCCTCTCTCTGGGCACCGTCAGTGCTGGCTGTTGCTGAGCTTTATTTAAAGAGGGGAGGAAAAACTGCTCTTGCTTCTGGTAGATTTGATGGAAGCTCCTACCACCAGAACAGCCCCCCTGCTGCTGTCGGCCTGCACCGGACTTGAAGCCTCCGCCAATTTTAAGATGACCTTGGTCTTCTCTGGCCAGATCTCTGTGCTTCATGTGGAGTCAGCTTTCTTTTTTTTCTTTTTTTAAAAGATTTTATTAAGAAATTGGGGGAGGGGAACAGACAAGTTTCTGTCCTTTTGTTCTTCAATCTAGTTGTGAAGGACGTCGCTTCACTGGCCCATGTTGGTATTATCATTGCGCTCTTCCCGGGTGAGGCAGTCGCTCGCCAGCCATTGGACGGCGGCTCATGCTGGCTGCCAGCCATTCACGGTAGCTCGCAGCAGCCCACTGCAGCCCCACTGCAGCCT